GTGTGCCCGGCGGCCTCGGGCTCTCCCGCCGCCTCCCTGCTGGAGCCCAGCGCCGCGAGCGCGGCCGAGAGCAAGGGTGGCCCCCTGCACTCGGTGCTGGTGCGCTCCTAGGGTGGCCCCCTGCACTCGGTGCCGGTGCGCTCCTAGGGTGGCCCCCTGCACTCGGTGCCGGTGCGCTCCTAAGGCTCCCGGCAGGCGCGGGGGCGCGAGGGCGGAGGGAGACGCCTGGTTCCGAGACCGCGGGACACGGAGAGGGCGCCCTGACCAGGCCGGGCTGAGCCCCAGCTTTGCAAGAAACGTATTTAAACAGACAAACAAACCCGAAAGTGGATTCTCCAGTGGTCTGAATAAAGATAACACTTCTGGTGTCTGTGTTGATACTATGTTGTACAGTCAGATGAATGAAAGCCAGTTTTCAGGTAAGAGTTTCTATTGTAATTAATATTATAAGTCAATAAGTTATGGGGGGGGGCGACGAAAGAGCTTGGGGAATCCTCATGAGCAGGTAAATTGGAGCTGGATTTTGAGTCTTATTTCTGGGACCAGAAGCTGTCGGATCTAAAACAGCGCCGGGAGAAATGCGATGCGGTGGCTCCGACACGGACCTCGGCCGCCAAGCTTCTCTCCGCTCGTCTCCTACGGGGCAGCCGCCTCTCGTGGACCATTCAAGTCAAAACTGCCCTTCACTAAGGAAATCTCGTTTATTGAGGAAGGAGAGGAGGGAGCGTTCGGTACCCTGATTCTCCTGGCCAGGGAAACGGGCAAGGAAACTGTTCTGAACAGAGCCGCTGCAGGGGGCAGTGGGAACTCCACAAGGGACCTGGGAAACAGTTGCATTTCTTGGCTCTGACCCGGGGTCCAGGAGGACAGGAGGGACAGAGCAAGCAATTAGTTTGCACACAAGACAATGGCAGCGGCTTAAAGAGCAAAGGCCCACAGATTCCAAAAGTAAAGTTCGGGAAACACAACCAAAGAGACAATAAAAGGCGACTTTCTATCTGCAATTCGTTTGTATATCGACCGGATGAAAGCGTTAAGGAGCCCCCCAAATAATGTGAATCCTCACTGTCTGTTCCACTGGGATTTTAAAGAGAAAAATATTACTTGCATCACGGGGTTTTGTCCCCTAACTCGCGAAGGCAAGGAAGACCTGCCGCACCGCCCGGCCTCGCTCTCAGGCGTACCTGCAGAAGCGCTTCTGGCCGTCGCAGCCGGGCCTCCGCGAGCGGAGAAGAAACTTGGCTGCCGCGCACGCTCCTTCCCTCGTTTTGAGCCCCAATAATAGCACTTTACTCGCAACAAACTTTCGAAAAGGAAGGGGGGAGGGGAGGGGGGAGGCAGCGGCTCTTTGCCTCCCAGTCACCTCTGGTCTAGGTCCGCGCGGCGCTCGGGTTGTTACTTTGTGACAAGTTCATGTCTGCCTGTGTTGTACGCGGTGTTCTCCATTAAAGCTTGTCTCTGGACACGCCGGTGCCGGTGGGGTGGTGTTTTCGCTTCCCAAGAAACCAGGCCGCGGGCTGAGTGCCTGCTGGCCCGGTCGGAGGACGTGGCCAAACCCTCCCGGTCCCCTTTATTTCTTAACAGCAGAGCTCGGAAGGGGTGGCCCCTCCGGCCAGCCCCCCGCAGGGACACGTTTGCTCCGCTCCTCCTTTTGTAGGTGGCGCATTCATCTCCTCCGCCGCGCATTCTTACTTCCCGTGCAGGGTTTCTAACTGAGCTCGGTGCCACCTCAGTGCCCGAGACTGAATCAGCCACACACACACACACACACACACACACACACACACACACACAGGCAACAGTGATTTTTTGTTGTTCCTACCCGAGGTTCACCTCAATACACCACCACCAGCCAACACCTTTTCCCTTTTCTGAGGTCCTCGAGGGCAGGACCCAGTTCCATGGAGAGGGTACCCAGCGGCGCCCCTTAAATCTGCGCGGCCGGCAGGAAGGAGGCCGCGAGGTTGGCACCAGGACGCTGCCACTGCGGTCAGGGCGGAGTTGAACCAGGAGGTCGGGCCCCGCTACCGAGGCCTGGGGACCTGTTGCGCGCAGGCGGCTGGCTGCGTCCTGGGCTAGCGGGGCTTCGGGACGGCCGCAGCTGGAGGCCCTTGGGCCGCAGAGCGCTTGGCCCGCGAGAGCCTGCTGCCCGGCAGCCCGGGCTCCCCAAAGGACTCTGTAGGCTGCAGCGACTGCGGAGCTGGCGAGGTGGCCTGGCCCGGTGCGGGGACCCCGCTGGGGCCAGGGAGCCGTGGCACGGCCTCTGCCCTTCACCCAGGAGCAGGGCTGCACCTTGCACCAAGCCCCATGGAAGCCTCCGCTAACCTTTCCTCAAAAGAAAAGTACAGGGTCAACAAGGTGACCTCCGCATGGCAATGACACGAGGTGGGGGTGGGCGGGGGACTTGTTACAAACAGGTGTTTCCAAGCATCCCTTCCTTACAGCTCCCCTTGCTGCCTGCAGCCAAGCTCTGGCCTCCTTGGGGCTCAGACAGGTCTAGTGGATCCCATTCTGTCAGTTTGAGACTGCAAGGTTTTCCTCTACACTAGTTTGATGTCATAGAAAGACAAAAATGAAGGGGAGACATTGACATGGGGGTCCCAGGCTTTGGAGGACTTGGGGAGTCTGGCTTCTTTGTCTGCCTCTGGGTGAGTTGGTGCCTGGAAGCCCCGGGCGGGGACCCCTAGTTTAGAGGCGCAGAGTCAGTCGGCCTGAAGATGTAGGTCCTGGATTCCAGGAGTATCTTCCAAAGGACATCCTTCTTCCTTCACCACCTGCCCAAAAAGGGCCCGGAAACTTTTTGGGGAAGCCCACCGTCCAAGTTGCGGGGAGGAGGAGAGGCCCAAAGTGCAGTTTAGCAGGCGGAGGGCTGGCCTAAGTGGCAGCCCTTTCCTGAGCAGAGAGGAGCCTGTGGGGCCAGGCCCCAGAGAAGGTTGAGCAATGGCCCCTCACTGTTTCCCTGAACCCTCTTAGCACCCAGCCCCGCACCCTCACACCCCTGTGGCACCCCTTCTACCTTTGTGAGGAAAACATGGTTGTTTCATTTTGTTTTAATAAAACAGAGGAAGATAGGAGATTAGTAGGCAACGTGCTCATAGAAATGATTCCACTCAAGTTTTCTTCCAGGAGGGGACCCTGGTTCTCGAAGGAAGTTCTGCATGGAATTCAGACTGGAGAACCTGGGGATTAAAGCCTTGAAGACACCCCCCCCCCC